CTTGATGAATCACGAGTCTGAATTATTGAAAGGTTCAAGTAATTTCAGGGTGAAGTTGAAAGATCGTCGTGGCAAGAGGATAAAAGATCTATGATATGATCATAGAGATGAATATCTGAATTACGAGTTTGGCACAGAATTAAGACATTGTGGAAATTGTTTCACAACTAATACAGCCTAGAACACCATAGTGTGATGGTGTGTCCGAACATCATAACTGCACCCTATTGGATATGATGCATACCATGATGTCTCTTATCGAATTACCACGATAGTTTATGGGTTAGGCATTAGAGACAACCACATTCACTTTAAATAGGGCACCACATAATTCCGATGAGATGACACCGTATGAACTATGGTTTAGAGAAACCTAAGCTGTCATTTCTTAAAAGTTTGGGGCTGTGACGCTTATGTGAAAAAGTTTCAGGCTGATAAACTTGAACCCAAAGCGGATAAATGCATCTTCATAGGACACCCAAAACAGTTTGGTATACCTCCTGTCTCAGATCCGAAAGCAATAAGGGATTGTTTCTAGAATCGGGTCCTTTCTCGAGGAAAAGTTTCTCTCGAAAGAATTGAGTGGGAGGATGGTGGAGACTTGACGAGGTTATTGAACCGTCTCTTCAACTAGTGTGTGGCAGGGCGCAGGAAGTTGTTCCTGTGGCACCTACACCAATTGAAGTGGAAGCTTATGATAGTGATCATGAAACTTCAGATCAAGTCACTACCAAACCTCGTGGGATAACAAGGATGCGTACTACTTCAGAGTGGTACGTAATCCTGACTTGGAAGTCATGTTGCTAGACAACAATGAACCTACGAGCTATGGAGAAGCGATGGTGGGACTGAATTCCGATAAATGGCTCGAGGCCATAAAATCCGAGAAAGGATCCATGTATGAAAACAAAGTGTAGACTTTGGAAGAACTACTTGATGGTCGTAAGGCTGTTAGGTACATATGGATTTTAAAAGGAAGACAGACAATGATGGTAAGTATCACCATTAAAAAAGCTCGACTTGTCATTAAGATATTTTCCGACAAGTTCAAGGAGTTGACTAGGATGAGACTTTCTCACTCGTAGCGATGCTAAGATTCTGTTGAAATTATATTAGCGATTACTGCATTATTTATGAAATCTTGCAGATAGGATGTCAAAACATTGTTTCCTCGACGATTTTTCTTGAGGAAAGGTTGTATGTGATACAACCGGAAGGTTTTGTCAATCCTGAAAGATGCTAATAAGTATGCAAAGCTCCAGCAATCCTTCTAAGGACTGGAGTAAGCATCTCGGAGTTGGAATGTACGCTTTGATGAGATGATCAAAGATTTTGGGTTTATACAAAGTTTATGAAAAACTTGTATTTCCAAAGAAGTGAGTGGGAGCACTATAGAATTTCTGATGAGTATATGTTGTTGACATATTATGGATCAGAAATGGCGTAGGATTTCTAGAAAGCATATAGGGTTATTTGAAAGTGTTTTTCAATGGAAAGCCTGGATTAAGCTACTTGAACATTGAGCATCAAGATCTATAAGGATAGATCAAAACACTTAATGGTACTTTCAAATGAGCACATACCTTGACATGATCTTGAAGGTGTTCAAGATGGATCAGTCAAAGAAGGGGTTCTTGCCTGAGTTGTAAGGTATGAAGTTAAGACGTAAAGCTCGACCACGGCAGAAGAAAGAGGAAGGACGAAGGTCATCCCCTATGCTTTTGTCATAGGCTCTATACGGTATGCCATGCTAAGTACCGCACCTGATGTGTGCCTTGCCACATGTCTGGCAAGAGGGTACAAAGATGATTTAGGAGTAGATCACCAGATAGTGGTCAAAATTATCCTTAGAGGAATAAGGATATGTTTCTCGGTTATGGAGGTGATAAAGAGTTCGGCGTAAAAGGTTACATCGATGCAAGCTTTAACACCTATCCGAATGACTCTGAGTAGCAAACCGGATACGTATAGTGGAGCAACCATATTGCATTTACAAAAAGATTCACATACATTAAAAAACATAGCGCGTTTTAATTAAAAAGTTTGACATTAATAAAATTTCATCCATTTAAAAAAATATTTGTACCATTTAACAAAAAATATTCATGAATTTAAAAAAATATGTTCATGACATATAAAAGACGTTTGTAAAATTTAAGATTTTTTTAAAGTTCTTAACAAAAGAGATGTTCATGAAAAGGTAAAAATTATTCGTGTAATATTTAAAATATATTCATGACATATAAAAAAGTTTGTGCACTTGAACTGGTAGAGCTTTTTTTAAGTCCTGAATTTGGAGGAGAAAAAAGGTGAAAGAAAAACAAATACAAAGGAAAAAAGGAAAAAGAAAAACTGAAAATACATAAAGTAAGAAAGAAAAGAACAACATAAATATGAGTTTTTCTAGACAAACAACATAAATATGAGTATAGAAGCTTCTCAAAACCGAAGCTAAATAGGCCGAACTTTTCCTTCTCGCAAAAGTGCCGATTCCTTCTCCTTTTCTTTGTTTCTGCTTTTCACTCTACTGTACGGGCTGAAGGCCCAAAGGTCAACCGGACTAAGCAGTCCTGGCAATCAAAATGATAGGAATTAAAGGCGAATCTCATAATAACTAAGGCCCAAATAGCGGAGAGAGTTCCTTTCCAAAAATGAAATAAAAATATAAAAAACCCTAAATAAATAATAAATTAGATCAAACAATTCAAGGAATATTTCTTCCTTCAAATAGTAATATTAATAATAAAAAAATAAACATAAATGGAAAACTAGAAGCAACTTTATTGAATCATCTCTCCTTTCCCCCTTTGTTCTTGAATATATTTCCTCAAAATTTTAAAATTCGTGAACATTTTCCAACTTTGTGAACAGTTTTAAATTCATCATATTTGTGAAATTTGTGATCATTTTAAAAATTCGTGAACATTTTTTGAATTCACAAATTGTTTTCAAATTCTTGAACACTTTTTTTTGCGGGTGAAAATTCTTGAACACTTTTGGACTCATGAACATTTTTCAAACTTGAACATGTTTTGAACTTCGCGAACAAGTTTGCAAATTCATGATTTTTTTAATAAAAATTGCAAATATTTTATGAATTAATGAACATTATTTAAGAATTTAGGAAGACACAGGAAAACCTGGGCCTTGCTCGTTCTGGAAGGGGGTTTGGATGTGAGAATGTTGAAGTAATATTTATTTGTACCTACTAACAGATGAAGTAGAAAGAGTGAAGTGAGGCTTGATTTTTTTCCCTATTTATTTGGACCAAAACATGTTCAGATAGCTCACGGCATGGCTAAGTGTTGTGGCAAGAAAAACAACGGAAGGGCTCAGTTACAAAACAACATGAGATGATGTCGTCTGGTGGTTCTTAATTGGGTGTGCAACTAGTTAGAATGCACACGGTGAGAATGGACGATTTTTTTCTTTTTGTCTGATGAGATTTGTTTGACAAGGAAGAATCTATATGCCATATATATGCAGGTACAAAAGATCTTCTTACAAAACAGAGATAGCTATCCTCCATGTCCATATATAGAACATGAACCATCGACAACCTTTATTTATAAATAAATGACTCTACAAAACCAGATGAATAAGTAAATATGTTCCCAATTCGCATGGCATGGCTGCTCCCACTGAGTTCAGCGCCGCAAAATGAGTTCCGTCCAGAGCATTATGAAGCAACTGACCAGCACGTCCTTTTTTATCTGAAAGACAGTAGTAGCCACCTTGAGAATTTACATGATTTCCATGCTCGAAGACATCTCCACTCCAACATTCGCAATGTGGGAAAGATGAAGCATCTGCAGGTGCTCAAAGAATTCCATGTTAAAAATGAGAGCATGGGATTTGAACTGACAGAACTTGGGGCATTGCCAGAGCTTGAAGGAGGATTGACTATACGTGGTCTTGAACACGTGGCAACCAAGGAGGAAGCTACTGCAGCCAAACTGATGTTGAAAAGGAATCTGAAGGAGCTGGAATTACTCTGGGGCAGGGATGGACCAACTACAGATGTTGATATTCTTGCAAGCTGCCGTGGGCTAGAGATGAGCCAAACAGAGCTGATGGACCAATTACTGTGGGCTAGAGATGTTCCAACTGCAGATGCTGATATTCTTGATGCTCTTCAACCGCACTCTAATCTTAGAGTACTTACAATTGCAAATCAAGGTGGTACCGTCGGTCCTAGCTGGTTGTGTCTTGACATCTGGTTAACTAGTTTAGAGAGACTCACTATAGAAGGCGTATGTTGGAGCACCCTCCCACCTTTTGCAAAGCTACCAAATCTCAAGGTACTCAATTTGAAGAAAATTTCTGGAATGCATCAGTTTAGGCTGCAATGTGGTGGCGCTCCAGGGAAATGTTCTATGCGCTTGAAGACAATTGAGTTTCGTGAGATGCCAGAACTTGCTGAATGGGTTGTGGAACCTAATTGCCATTCCTTTCCAAGTCTTGAAAAAATCGAATGCTTCCGTTGTCCCAATCTCCGTGTGATGCCCTTGTCGGAGGTATCTTGCGCCAATTTGCGTAGACTTGAAGTTTATGGGTGCCCCAAGATGTCTCTGCCCTCCATGCCTCACACCTCCACACTGACATATTTGGTTGTTAAAAGAGATAATTCAAGAAGAAACCTTCGGCAAGATGGTTCAGGAGCGTTGTTGTCTTATAATGGAAAGAAATTGGTTGTTAATGGGTATGGCGGTGCTTTGGCCTACCACAATCTGGATAAAGTAGAAGATATGGCTATTGCAAATGTATCGCACATATCATTGACAGACCTTGAAAAGTTTAAATCCCTAACAGAACTATCTGTCGGAAGATGCGACGGTTTGTTCCCTGAGGAGCTTGATGGCAGTATTGTCTTGCGTTCAGTTAAGAGTCTGAGATTAGTTGTATCTCATCTTACCAGCAGCAAATCATCATCGTCAAAAGTGTTAAACTGTTTCCCAGCTCTTTCTGTGTTGTACATATATGAAGATGAAGAATGTGTAATGCAGTTCCCATCATCCAACTCACTGCAGAAACTTCACTTCTATGGCTGCCACGGCCTGGTTCTTGAGCATGTGGAGAATGGAGGAGGAATTCAGGAGCTCCAATCATTATCAATATTCATGTGTGGCAAATTGTTCTGTCGGTGGCCCATGGGAATGGGAGAATCAGAGACCATTTGCCCTTTCCCTGCTTCCCTGAGGGAACTTGATGTTGCCGACGAGCCAAGCATCAAGTCAATGGCTCTGCTCTCAAACCTCACGTCTCTCACCACTCTAAGCCTAAAAGAGTGCCGTAATTTAACAGTGGACGGATTCAATCCTCTCATCGCAGTCAATCTCATAGAACTGCAAGTGCATAGCTGCAGCACCTTAGCAGCAGACATGCTCTCAGAGGTGACCAAATTATTGCCTGCGGGTTACATCTCTAGATTGGAGAAACTCAATGTGAATAACATCTGTGGCTTGCTTGTTTCTCCTATTTGCAACCTCCTCGCCCCGACCCTCCACACTCTTGAATTGGCGAGGATGGAAAGCTTCACGGAAGAGCAAGAGAAAGCGCTGCAGCTCCTCACCTCCCTCCAGAATCTAAAATTTTCCTATTGTGAGCATATGCAGTCTCTCCCTCAAGGGTTACATCGCCTTTCTTCTCTCGAGGAGTTACGTGTCGTTTCGTGTCCAGAAATCCGATGGATGCCCAGGGAGGGCCTCCCGGTTTCGCTGCGAAAACTATATATGAATCCTCACAGTGCTGAGATCGACGAGCAAATTGAGAAAATCAAAAGGACAAACCCAAATTTATCCGTCTCTTGAAGGATAATATAACTACACCAAATTAAGGTAACACTTGACGCCTCCCTATTTTTTTTCTATTTCTGAAGCAAGGTTTATTCGCCATATCTCTGCCTCATCTTAACCACTGTTGTCAAATCTTACAGACTAGCAGACTCGTCGTTGCAATCAATCTTATGTGCACACAAGTTGTCAAACCTGCATTAATCAACAGGTGCGAGATACAACCAACTGACTCTTCATTCTGCATGCAACACTAGCTGTTGACTCTTCATTCTGCTACATCAGAACCAATTTCTGATCCTTAATTTATGACTGCATTCATAGTGCATTTTCTTCGCCAGGCTTCTGTTCCCAAATAAAGAAGGGCGTGGGGTTCACTTGGTACTGATCAAGAAGAGGACTTGAGTCGTAGATGCAAGAAGTGATCGAGGCTGGAATCATGGAATTGAATTATCAGGCTTGTGCTCATTTTTGGCATGAAGCAGCAGGACTGAACAGTCCAATTTAACTGTTGGCGAAGAGCAGGGTTATCTTGTCTTGGTGGTGCATTTATTTCCTTTACAGAATGGTATGGATTCCTACTATTATCGTGAAGTGAAACTAAATTGAGGTCCACTATACAAGAGAAGGGAGAATGCTTTCCAATTTGTTTGATTCTTGAAAAATCCATATTTAGCCTGATACTGAATTATACCTGTTAGGACCGGAGCAATGAGGACCATTATTTGGTCAACCACCAAGTTTAGTTTATGCTGGGGCAGAGTAGTGAATTTCACAGCTGAGTCAGAGCAAACAAACAAACAAACAAAACAGATGGAGCAACAATTGTCTTGATATACTGAAAGGTCAGTACTTACTTGACACTTTGTTCTCATTTTTGGGTTTTCCCAGGTAATGTTATGCTCAAAAGTGCCGTGCACTGAAAGATTGTACTACGTAATATCTGAATTACTCGAATCTGTCTGTCGCCAGAATGTTGCTGCTGCTTTGTAATTAAGGGCCACATTCCAGCTGATATAATTGTGTTGCGTGTTTGCAGAATATCAATGTAAGTGATGGCTCGCAATGGGATGTCCTTGGTTTGGATGCAGCAGCGAGCGGAGCATTCCCACTGACAGCACTTCAGCTCATCTCAGTGAGAGAGAGGGTCGATGTTGGGCTTTAATTCGTCAGTCTGGTAGTAGCACTCCAGTTCAGCATCACCTCGCTGTTGCTCCAGTCATTCACACAGCTGCTTGGAACAGAGCGACTTGTACAGTGCTGAATCTGCTGCTTCAGTTCAACTTCAGCAAAGATTCTTCTTCACCTGTGAATTCGGTACAGCTTCACAGGCCCGCCAGACAGTGGCGGAGCTTGAGAGTAATTCAAGAGGGGGCCATTACTGAAAAGGAACCAAGTTAACAGGGAAGGAGGGGCTAATTTATAGTTTAAACACTAATTAGGCTCATAATCTAGCCTGTTCTTCAATGGATGCAAAAAATAAGGGGGGGGGGGCATGGCCCCTGTTGGTCTACACTAAGCTCCGCCACTGCCGCCAGAGGTGGTGGTTCAATTCAAGGTTGCGAAAATACAGTGGAAGTAATGCGGAGGACGGCGAATAGAAAAGAGAAGAGTGCTGCTCGGGCAAGAAGAGGGGAGGCGGATATGAACGAATTGGCGCGGGCCCTAGCATTGATTCCTACATGGCGGGTGTGCACGGGCGCTTCTGGGCCTCCCATCTCTGCCCCAGATATGGGCCGGATATGGGAAGTGCCCATCAGTCCGGGCGTTTAGTACGGAGAGAAGAAAGCTTCATGGTTGGTAGCTTTTTCCTGCGTACATCATAGTCCTTTCTGGAATGCATTCAAAAGTATGAGGATAGCATTAAGCTATGTACACACTGATGCCTTCACACAAATACTTGAAATAATGAAGACAGGCTCCCTATGCCTGCACTCTTACAATTCACACACACAGCAATATTAAAGTGCAGTTGAGTGTTATGTGTAAAGTGGAACTAAATATGTAAACTAAGTATTGCTGTGTTTATGAGCCGTGAGAGTATAGAGGATGTGAGTTGTGTTTTTCTCCTTGGTTCTGGAGGAAAGGATAACGGTATTTTTGTGTAGGGGTCGTAGGTTAGGTAGGCAAGACAGCTCCCCTCTTCGTTGAACAATAATTAAGATGTATTCAGGACAGGTGTAGATAACCATACATACAAACAAAGTAAATACTAACAAAATCTCGAGTGTAGCTTGATTCTTATTTTTCAAAATCAAAACGCAGATGCTGTCCTGGATCGATAGAAATGCTGGTTACCAATTAATCCTTTAGAAAGTCACCAATTAATCTTGTCCAGCTGCAGCTGATGAATATTATCCTCCATCCATCTGAATCTGAATCTGAAAGAAAGAAAGCAGTGAGATTGGGCTGCCGCTTGGGAGATTGGGCTAAAACCACATTTGGACCGGAACGGGGGGAGAGAGAGAGAGATGGGAGGATGAGGTAGCTGCGGTGGCGCGCGTCGCGTCGGCCGGGGCACCTCCGCCGCCGCCCCGACTCGAACTCTTCCGGCTCTGGCCCGGATCCGCCACCGGTGGCTCATCGACGACCTCCTCCCGGATAAGCTCAAGCCCAAATCCGAGGCCGCCGCCGCCGTTGCGCAGCAGACTCTGCCCGCCATGTCGAGGTTGCCTCTTTTCGCTTCTTTTTTTTTTTGGCGACGAAACATGAAAAATGTGATTCGTTTGTAGGAATATTCATTGAAAACATTTATGTTTTTTTTAATAAGAGGAAATGTTTATGCTTTGATGCCACGAGCATTGATTCTCCTCCCTCAAATTTAAAAAATAAAAATTCCACCCCTTATCATAAAACACGTATCAATTCACCTATAATACAACTGGATCTTCAGATTATGATGTTGGTAGTCGATAACACCCGAATTCTACTGATTTTTCAGGGATACTTTATATCATCATCCACAAGTTAAGTATTGGGACCAAATGCTCTTGTAAACTTGCTTGTTTGGTATGATAACTGAAGTGGAAACAAGTTTTTGATGCCATGCTACAAACAAATGGAGAAAAGTAATGAAATATGAAGGATGGGAGATCGAGGAGCAACTGCAATTGAATGGAATGGAAAAAGATTACCGGCCGCCACTTCTTCTACACCTCCCTCGATTGATGTCGTTGCGTCCAGCCGTCCAAAACCTCCCCAACCGCCTTCTCTACACAAGTGAGATGGACATTGCAGATTCGAGCCCATGGCCTGACCTACGTGTCAGCACCGACGCATCGGGCCGCATCGTGGTTTCCTACTATGTTGCTCTAGCTCCTCATGTAGGAGCATGGCAAGGAGAAAAGCCAAGTAGGGAGATTGGCAGTTTTCCTTGCGAGATCGAGAAAGAGGACGGATCGGGAGCGAGGGGTGGGAGTGGGTCGTGGTTGTTTCTCTTTTCTTTCTTTTAATCGCGCGAAGGAAGACCGGGAGGGAATGTTGGACCCCCCTTTCATAGTAGAGACATCTTCCCTCAAAAACTAAAATAGCAGAGACATCTTAATTATTATTATCTTGAGTGAATTCCAGTTTTTACCCCTTACTTTAGCATTTTTTACACTAATTACCCCATTTAATAAATTTTCATCCAGATTACTCCATTTAGCAAAAGTTTTGCCAGTTTTTACCCCGGTAATTCTTTTGAGAGCGATCTGCCAACTAACTCCCTGCCATTAGATTCTCTTGGCGTTTTTTTAATGCCCGAACCGGTCACTTGGTTTAGCCGCACTCGATTTTTTTTTTCTCATGGTTGTCTTTTGTATGTGTGCATCACCTCGCAGGAAAGACGAACAGTTATCTTGAGCCATCAAGTACGTTCAATTTTGCATTGTGGGTTGTGGTTCGCAGGTTTATTGTGATGATATTTAGTCAAGATTGTCACTAAATGGGGTAATCTGAATGAAATTTTGTTAAATGGGGTTATTAATGTCAAAAATGCTAAATTAGGGGGTAAAAACCAGAACTCACTTTTTTCTTTTCTTTTTTTTTTCAATTTGCCAACAGGTGGAGGAGGCCAATCAGAGAAAAAAAATTCCCCAACTCCAAAATTTGCCCATCCGAAACCCTCGCCGCATACACCCACCATGTCGCCGCCGCCGCCGCTGCAGGAGGAGGTCTTCTTCCGCCTCCCGCCGGACGAGCCCGAGCACATCCTGTGCGCTTCCCTCGTCAGCAAGGTTTGGCTCCGCCTCCTCTTCGACCCTCGCTTCCGTGCTAGCTACCGCGATTTCCATGGAGCTCCGCCCATGTTGGGCTTCCTTTCTTCCTGCCTCTCCAACTCCGTCCATGTGGAGGCGGAAGATAACATCCCGCACTTGTTACCCACCACGAAATTCCGTGTGCGCATTCCCGACGACGACTGGGGAGGCAGGACAGGAGCTATGCTGCTTGGGAGTGGGACTGCCGCCATGCCCGCGTTCTCCTCGGCGGCCAGTCTTACCGATCCGTTCCACTCCTCGTTTGGGACCCCATGACGGGCCGCCGGAGGGAGCTGGTCCCGCCCCACCAATTTGGCTGCAGCTACGGGGCAGCGGTGCTCTGCACGGTGGCCGGCTGTGACCACCGTGCGTGCCACTCAGGTGGCCTACATCGGTGTTGATAGGATTGAACAAGATGACCAATGTGTGGCGCGCGCATGCATATCCTTGCCGGTGACGACGGCTGATTCAAGCAAGCCGTGCTCTGATCATTCTCGTTCTCGTTGTTTTGATAAGTGGAGCAAGCCGTGCTCTGCTCTTTATCTTGGGCCCATTGCATCGTGGTGTCTACCTCCAAGACGCACTGTACGTCAAGCTCATGCAAGGTGATCACATCACATAGCAATTCTCAAGTACGACCTGGGATCTAACTGCTTATCACTCATTGGTGCACCGCCGGCTGGGTATATCCTCCTCAATCGATCACGCCATCCTCATGGCGATGAAGGATGGCAGTTTGGGGTTTGGACATGTCGACGAGTTAACCCTCCACTTGTGGTC